CCCCCCCCCACTACGCCCCTGTCTCCAATAACCATCGATTTGTATAAATCAAAAAAGTTTCATCGATGGGATTCTCAAAGGTCATTGGTGTGCTGTGATTCGCCAGTATTCAGTGATTCACTGCTTTGTTTTTATCACAAAGAGCTTCTTTTCCTTAATCACCAATAATCAATGTTTACATCACAAAGAATTTCATTTGTAAACTCCTAAAACATCAATAATGGTTTAAATTTGTTCAATCTTTTCCATAAATCACGAAGTATTTCACTCAAATTTTATTTGTTCAGGAATCACCAACTATCCTATTGGAGTGGGAATCAATGGTGCAGGAGAAATCACTATTGCTGACAATCACAACAACTTTAATCTCTCCGTCTTTTCCCAGGACGGTCAACTAATCTCTGCCCTAGAGAGCAAGGTAGAACAATGCTGCAAACTTTTTTTAACGAGAATAAATGCCTATTGTTTTATTACACACACACCCGTCACAGGATTTTTAACGATTTTTTCTAGTTAAGTAATTAAACACCTAATAAAATCTTTTTTAAAAGAAAAAATGTATTAGCAAATGGAATGTAAGAAGAAACATTGAAGAATTGACTTAAATTTTATTTTTGTGAAATGTGTTAAACCCCTGGTTTTAAGATTAACTTAATTTAAACTCAGTGAAGGATATTTAAACAATTTTCATCTTCCCCTCAAAGCTTATGCACAATTTCTAACATTAAAATCCAGATTTTCAATTTTATTTCCGGAAAATTTGGTTTAACGACTTCCCTCCTTCCAAAGTTTTAATGTAATCATAAATTGTGGAAGTAGGAGAATTGAACAATACTAATAAACTAAATATGCTTCCAGACCTTTATATTCATTTTAGAAATTATGAAAAGATTATTCCTTTTTCCTTAAGGTAGAATGTTTGCGGGGAGTGTGAAGTTTTTAGGGGATTTTATTGCAAACTTTTGGGGGTAAATTACGTTATCGAATTTTAGGTTTAAGAAAAAAGAAGAAAAAAAACAGATAGACAGTGGGATTGCTTACTTATATAATTTTTTAGAGAATAAGGAAATTCCAATTAAAATGCTTCATTTCAGTTTATTTGAATTTATTTAATTAATATTTATTTTAGGTTAAACACGCTCAGTGCTTTGATGTTGCCTTGATGGACGACGGGAGTGTGGTGTTGGCGAGCAAGGATTACCGTTTATACATCTACAGATATATCCAAGTACCACCGATCGGGATGTAAACAAGTGGATACTCCTATCTATAATTAGGGTTGTATCCTTGTATCCGGGGCTATAGGAACACTTTCTAGTGTCGAGGGGTGGAACCTGGACACTCGGTACCAGAAACCTAAAAACCGGAACTTGGAATCCGGAACCTGGAACCCACCCAACTCAGTCTTTCCAAATTTTATATTTCTGCGTGTGTAATGTTAACGTTAAGATTAGAAAAGTTTCTCCTGTCGTTCCACTGTTTGTGTTAAGTTTTGAAAATGGAGAATTTTTATGAAAATTTTATTAAAGCTAGAAAAATCTATCTTTGGGAAATACTTAGCATAGAACATTTGTTGCAATAGCTTACGTTGGATTTTGGTGGGCATTTGTGTAACTTTTGGGGAGACCACATATCACATGGATCAAAATAGTTAATATAGTCAGAAATTCAAGAAGGCATTTATTAGTTATATGCTAAGTAGCTCAACTCTTATGTTTGGAGATATGACCAAAAATTGTACTCTGCTAGTCAGTGAAAAAAGCTAAGTGCCATTGCCGTTTTTGTTGATTTTTAATCTAAAAGTTTTTACAAGTTTAGATTGCTTGTATACATTTGATATGTAAACTTGTTAAACCTAATATATGTACTGTCGTACAATTGTACAGTACTTTTGTTGTTGATTCAGTGCTTTTTCAGTTCTGTTTTCTTCAGGGCGTCGAGGCAACATCTGACTTAAAAGTCCGCACTGTACAACTGTACGCTGGCATTTATTCATATTTTAATTCTTTTGTTTGTTAGGGTTTGTAATTGTTTATGTTTGGAACTGGCGAAGGTAGCAGTACACACATATATACAAACTAGAACCAGTATTATTGAACCCCTACCCTCACCTTTTTGTTTTGCATTTATAATATGTTTCATTTTATTTTGGTTTCTAGAATATTTAAAGGATGTTTTACCAAACTACTGCTTGTTGTACTATTATTATTTTAGTTTTAGTTTTTATTCAGTTATTTTAATCATTTTGTAAAATTTTGTTTTAAGGCACAAAGTGAATTGACTTGAGATTATTGAAAAGTGTCTTTCACGCGAATTTTATCCTCCATTTTGGAATCAACAGCTGATTCTAAGAACCGGGGGGTTTTCCCGCCAATTTGGTTTAAATACCCCCCGGGAATCTCTTGAGATCTAGCCCCCCGGGATCTGAAGTTACACCTGGTGAATCAAATAAAGATTTTTATTCTGTCATTCGCTGTGCATATGTTAATACATATATAAAACTAACCAGCCTATTTATTTAAATACTGTACTGTGCACGTGTCTATATTTACCGCTATTAGTCGCTTGTTTTCGTCCGTACGCTTGTATAGTCTATATTCTACATATATATTTATTGATATTCTCTCAGAGGTGGCCTGCGGTAAGACTGATCACCACATTTGTTGGCTTTCTTGTGTCTACGCTTTCTTGTTGGTTGATTTTCTTTATTCCCCAATCGGTCTTACATCGGGTTCACACCTCTATCGGCATAATAAGAGGTATCCGCGGTTAAATTTATTTGTAAAGGTTTATTTTGTTACTCTTTTTATAAATTAATTGCGTCATGCTCACTATTTTATTTATATTTTTTATAAACCCCTTTTCTCTCTCTTCGGTTGTGGACATCTTTCATTGGGGTGTTAAAGTTGATATTTGGAAACATTTATATTGGAAACATGGTATTTAATTGTTTTCATCTTTATCGAATTATTGTATGGAGGCTCCTGCTTTGAAGGAAATTAATCTAGAAAGTGACAAATTGAATTCAAAAAATCAATTATTTCTTCACCGTCAATGAAGAATTTAATTTTGCCTTCATTCGGTCGAGATAAGTTGTTATTTTGAACTCGTTAGCTGACATCATATACTTAGCAATATTAAACAACAACATGGCGTTAAATCGGTTCCAACCAGGCGTCAAAATCATTGTGGCGCCTATCTCCTGGGTGTGCTCAGACACTTCGCGCCACTCTTGGACCAATTCATAACTGCGCCGCTACGACGTCCTATTACATGTGAAATTAAAATATTTTTATATAAACGGGCGCACCTCTAATTTTTGAATTGTTAAACCGAAAGCACTTGTTTTTTTAATAATCATAATTCTCACATCTCTACTACCCCAATATATTTTGTATATTAATATTCTTCTTTAAAATATTTAACCATTGTTATGTGTACACCTAATATTGGACCATGGGATAAGGGCATTTGAATTAACCATTCTAAAAGGGCATAAATAAATTATTCCAGTTTGATGGGCATTATATTCAATCATAACATCCAACTATAGAAGCCATTTTTAACTCTCCCCTCCCCCAAAACGTGCCTCAGAACGCCCTCAGAGCATTAGATATTTGTGCGTAGAGTTTATTCTACGCACCTCGCGAGCTCTCATTACATTCTCATATTTTAGTCAAAAGATTTGTAAAATGTTAACTTGTGAAAATATTCCTGTTAAAATTCATCTGTATCATAAAAATTATGGAATAAAATAATTGTTTCATTTCTTATCAAATTATTAACGTGAGAGAGAGAGAGAGAGAGTGAGAATTGTTTTGTTTATTTTCCCTGAAAGAAAAAACTGACAATTTTCGATGCATCAACGATGTTCTCCCAAAATTTGAAGCGAATATATATATAGTGGATAAAGATACTTCACCAAAATTTAGAATGAACAGGAACATTCCAAGTCTACCAAGATTTAGTAAAAATTTTGCATCACGCGCTTCGTCATAAGCTTTATACTTAAATCAAAGTTTTTTATTGCTAGTCAAAAGTACAATAGTACAATAAGTTTTCCAATTTCCATAGAATATTTAAAAACCTCTATTCTGCATGCATACTTTCGTCTCACATTTACTTCAAAATTCTTTTAGCAAACTCCCGAACAATCAACTTTTAAAAATCATTATAAGCGATATTATAATTATTTGGACTACCTGGAATTATACAAATATTAAATATAACATTAAATCTAAAGAAAAGCAAAAGGGGGTTATAAATTTGGCTTGATTTTTTTATTATTTGTTTGTATCCGATAATGCAAAGACGACCAAACCGATTGTGGCAATTCCTGTGAACAAAGGAAACGTTTTGGATGCTTACGGACGGAAGAAAAAAATGCTCCACGGAAACAAATTTCGACATTTATTATTTTTGAAAAAGCGAAAAATCCACGAAATGTGAATAACATCAAAAAATGGCAGCATGAAGGACTTGAAGAGCAACGGTTGACAGCTAACATTGTTAATTTCTCTGAAAATTCAATGTAAAAAATTTGCCTGGAACCCATAAGCTTTTGAACACGAACCGTTAAAACAGATTTTTCGGGTCCGTCCTAGAGAACAATTTTCGGACCCCTCCCCCCTCTTATCAATTTTGTACATAATTAAATTAGTATTTATTTAGGGTTAGGTTAGGTTAAGACACTTTCTGGGCCGAGTTCTGCGGCATCATGTCTTACATTTAAGATCCATGTACAAAATTGATAGGAGGGGCGGGGGGGGGGGTCCAAAAATCGTTCTTTAGGAAATTACCGATTTTTCTAAATTGTACAGTGGGACACATAAAACTGTGGAATATGAAGACGACATTTTAGAAATCTTCTGTGCATTTGAGGTTTCTATTAAGCAGTAGCTTGAAAAATCAACTTATAAAGTAAAATGTGTCTGTTTACACTGCACAGTTCCTGTATTTAATGTTAATAGGACAGGGTTACCCACAAAGAATGAGACTATGAAGACGACCTGAAACTCTGTAAATATTATGGCTCTATTGTTAAAATTAGTCATCCGCAGATGACTTATTTTAGTAATTAAGAGGCCTTTTTGATTATTTGGCACAGAAAAACACAAGTTTTCAGTTACATATAAACAAGCATGTGAGAAAACAGACAGTTTAAATTCCGTACAGTCGTCTCTGAACATGAGTCCTACCTAGATAAATTCCCGCCTAAAATTAGAACTAAAAATGCTATTCTTTATCCTTACTTTCCCCCCCNTTAAAAACATAAAGGAACTTTAAAACCATAAAGCAACTTTTAAAACATTAAGGAACTTTTAAACCATAATGGAACTTTAAAAGCATAAAGGAACTTTAAAACCATAAAGCAACTTTAAAAACATAAAGGAACTTTAAAACCATAAAGCAACTTTTAAAACATTAAGGATCTTTTAAACCATAATGGAACTTTAAAACCATAAAGCAACTGTAAAACCATAAATGGAACTTTTAAACTATAAATGGAAATTTTAAACCATAAAGCAACTTTAAAAGCATAAAGGAACTTTAAAACCATAAATGGAACTTTTAAACTATAAAGCAACTTTAAAACCATAAAGGAGCTTTTAAACCATAATGGAACTTTAAAACCATAAATGGGACTTTTAAACTATAAAGAAACTTTAAGAGCATAAAGGAACTTTTAAGCCATTAATGGAACTTTTAAACCATAAATGGGACTTTTAAACTATAAAGAAACTTTAAGAGCATAAAGGAACTTTTAAGCCATAAATGGAACTTTTAAACCATAAAGGAACTTTAAAACAATAAAGCAACATTTAGACCATAAACCAACTTTTAAACCATAAAGGAACTTTTAAACCATAAAGCAACTTTAAAACCATAGAGAAATTTTAAAACCATAAAGCAACTTTAAAAGAATAAAGGAACTTTAAAACCATAAAGCAACTTATAAACCATAAAGCAACTTTAAAACCATTAAGCAACTGTAAAACTAGAAAGGGACTGTATTTCTGTAAAGCGACTGTAAACCCAAGAGACTGAAAACCCATAAAGAGAATGTAAAATCAAAAAGAGACTGTAAAATCAAAACAAAACTGTAAACCCATAAAGAGACTGTAAAATCGTAAAGAGAATGTAAAATCATAAAGAGACTGTAAAATCAAAACAAGACTGTAAACCCATAAAGAGACTGTAAAATCGTAAAGAGAATGTAAAATCATAACGAAACTGTAAACCCATAACGAAATTGTAAACCCATAAAGAGACTGTAAAATCATAGAGAGAATGTAAAATCATAACGAAACTTTAACCCCGTAAAGAGACTGTAAAATCGTAAAGAGAATGTAAAATCATAACGAAACTGTAGACCCAAAAAGAGACTGTAAAATCATATAGAGAATGTAAAATTATAACTAAACTGTAAACCCGTAAAGAGACTGTAAAATCGTAAAGAGAATGTAAAATCATAACGAAACTGTAAACCCATAAAGAAATTGTAAACCCATAAAGAGACTGTAAAATCATAAAGAAATTGTAAACCCATAAAGAGACTGTAAAATCATAAAGAGATTGTAGAATCATAATGAAACTGTAAATCCATATAGATATTCATTTGATTGGATATCATAAAACTTTGATATAAATCTTCATTATTATCGTTGATGGAGTCTCATAAAACTTTGATAGAATCCAATTAAACATTAAAGACTATAAAGAATGATAGATATAAGTAGAAGGTTTTTAAAAAGGCATGCACAATTTCTAGATGAATCAATTATCTCTTAAAGTTTTCCACAGTGCGGGATAAATCAGAAGTTCATATTTTTAAAGTTTACATATGTATATACGTCAAATCCAAATGAACGAATACTGTGTACCTGTACAATTTTTTTGTTAAAAATTTTCAAAAAAAATGGCTCTTTGCAACTTTTAAAAACCAAGAAAGCTTTTGAGATCATTAATATTTGATATGCATTTGCAAACGTTCAAAGAAAAGTACTTTAATGCAAGAATATTCATAATAGAATAAATGTTCAAATAGATTTATTATTATCCATTTATAATCCATTCTGAAACTCAATTTATCATATTTCATATCCCTAACACTAATTTATTGAAACATTTAATATTATATTTCAAAATGTCAGGGCCGTCGTTGAAAATATTTATTTATTTCATTAATATTAAATTACTTCTCATAAATTTCATTTTAAGGTTTTGGAGGGAAAATTATTTCTGGCAGAGCGAATAGATTTTTTTATAAATTCTATATATTTTTATATTTTATGTTTTATACGTTTTTCATATTTTAATTATACAATTTAAATATTTCATGTATTTAATGTTTTTTTTGAATATTTTATATATTTCAATTATTTCTTATAATTCATTTATTTCATATATTTCATGTTCTTAACATATTTCATGTACTTNTACAGGTACAGGTGCAGGTACAGGTACAGGTACAGGTATAGGTAGGACTATAGTTTGGTTCGTTATTTTTTAACTTTTAAGGTATTTGGACTTTCAAGAATTTAGTTAGTTTGTTCAAACTTGTTTATTAAACATTTATCGCACTTACACTGTGCCAAATTTTGACCCAGAAAGAAACTTTATGCGAACCAAAAGCAATCGTGTTTTTAATTCGTTCTTCCCAAATATTTTCTTTTCGAATGAAAATATTGAAAAGTTAAAAGAAAATAAAACTTTTACAGAATACACTTTTGAAATGTTGAAAATTTACATAAAGTGTGTGTGGTGCCAATTAAAAGCTTTAAAACGTCATAAACGATCCAAAATCGAACAGAGCTGTACATGATTGACTGTTCCCTTTTTGGTAGAAAGTTTCGATTTCTTCTTAAAAGACTTGATTGAACTTAGTTAAAAATATATTTCGATTACATATCCTTCTTAATTGTATACAAACAAAATCATATTGTTTAAAAATACAAAAAAATGTGGGAAAAATCCATTTTATAACAAAAAAATTGATGCATTTAGGGAAAATAAATTTTTTTTTTCAATGAAAGAAAGACTGGGCCACCCTAAAATCCTAATTCCCCCTGTAAATATGAAACACTCTGTTTTTCTGTGACACCCTTCAGATTCTGTTCTCCTTTAATATAGTAATTTATTCAGTAGGTGTTCATTGCACAGTGGTATACCAAGTTTACGAGGCTGTATATCTCTACGTGTCTATTTGTTTGTCGCAGTGTGCAGAATTCTGGGATTCAATCATACAAAATAATCCAGAGAAAACTTTTCTCCAGAAATGAAAAAAAACACAAATTATAGGTAAAGTATATTGTTTAAAAGTTCAGATTAATGAATTCTAAAAAGTGTATTTAAATATAACTGCAAAAATTCTGAAAGGGCCTGCTAGACATTATTAAAATTTTTGTATTTCACATAGCCCCAAAACCAAATCTGCGAAACTTCAGAAATAACAGGACTGAAAAACAAAAATGCTAAAATCAAATATTTCGAATCCTAAAACTTCATGAAGATCATGTTAACCAACGACCAATTCAGAAATATTATTATTTTTAAAATTAAAAGAATTTATTATTCAGTCGACCATAAAATAAAAAAGTTAAAAGTTGCCTATTATTCAAAATGTCCTTCTTTTGGAAACATTTCAAAGCGATCTTATTAATCTATTCGTTGATAATCTTTCTAAAACAGTTAAGCCATAATAAAATCTCGAATTTTCAACAATTCTGCAAATTTTTTCCATTTCCTTGCATCTGAAATTTTAAGATCGG